TTTTTCAAGCAAAAGGATCTTAACTTGAGGCAGCGTAGATGGTTGGAGTTACTTAAAGATTATGACATTACAATTCTGTATCACCCGGGGAAGGCCAATGTAGTGGCCGACGCCCTGAGTCGGAAGTCGGTGAGTATGGGGAGCTTGGCATACATTCCAGTTGAGGAGAGGCCAATTGCAGTTGATGTTCAGGCCTTGGCCAACCGATTTGTGAGATTAGATATTTCAGAGCCCAGTTGAGTGTTGGCTTGTGTGGTTTCTCGGTCTTCCTTGTATGACCGCATCAGGGAGTGTCAGTATGATGATCCGCATTTGCTTGTCCTTAAGGACAGGGTTCAGCATGATGATGCCAGGGATGTGACCATTGGAGATGATGGTATGTTGACGATGTAGGGACGGATTTGCGTGCTCAACGTGGATGGGCTTCGGGAGTTGATATTGGAGGAGACCCATAGCTTGCGGTATTCCATTCATCCGGGTGCCGCGAAGATGTATCAGGATCTCAGACAGCACTATTGGTGGCGGAGGATGAAGGGAGATATTGTGGAGTATGTGGCCCGGTGTCTTAATTGTCAGCAAGTGAAATATGAGCAACAGAGACCGGGTGGCTTACATCAGCAGATGGATATTCCTGAGTAGAAGTGGGAGAGGATCACTATGGATTTTGTTACCGGACTCCCACGAACTCTGAAGAAATTTGATGCTATTTGGGTGATTGTAGATAGGCTGACCAAGTCCGTGCACTTCATTCCGGTTTGTACTACTTGTTCTTCAGAGCGGCTGGCAGAGATCTATATTTGGGAAAGAGTTCGATTGCATGGTGTCCCAGTTTCCATCATATCAGATCGGGGCACTCAGTTCACCTCTCAGTTTTGGCAGGAGGTTCAGCGAGAGTTGGGTACTCAGGTGCAGTTGAGCACAGCTTTTCACCCTCAAACGGACGGGCAGTCCGAGCGCACCATCCAGATATTGGAGGATATGTTGCGTGCCTGTGTTATTGATTTTGGAGGGTCATGGGATCGGTTTCTACCGCTTGCAGAGTTTGCCTACAACAATAGCTATCAGTCCAGCATTCAGATGGCACCGTATGAGGCCTTATATGGGAGGCGGTGTAGATCTCCAGTGGGTTGGTTCGAGCCCGGTGAGGCTAGATTGTTGGGGACAGATTTGGTTCAGGATGCATTGGAGAAGGTGAAGGTGATTCAGGAGAGACTCCGTACAGCACAGTCGAGACAGAAGAGCTATGCAGATAGGAAGGTTCGAGATGTATCTTTTATGATTGGTGAGAAGGTCTTGCTGAAGGTTTCACCCACAAAGGGTGTTATGAGATTCGGGAAGAAAGGGAAGCTGAGTCCGCGGTTCATTGGGCCTTTTGAGGTACTTAGGAGGATTGGGGAGGTGGCTTATGAGCTTGCCCTGCCACCTAGTTTGTCGGGCGTCCATCCAGTTTTTCATGTGTCTATGCTCCGGAAGTACATTGGGGACCCGTCCCGTGTTTTAGATTTCAGTACAGTTCAGCTGGAGGGTGACTTGACTTATGAGGTAGAGCCAACAGCCATTTTGGATCGTCAGGTTCGGAAGTTGAGATCAAAAGATGTTGCATCGGTGAAAGTGCAGTGGAGAGGTCGGCCCGTGGAGGAGGCTACCTGGCAGACCGAGCGGGAGATGCGGAGCAGATACCCCCACCTATTTGAGGCATCAGGTATGTTTCTTGACTCGCTCGAGGACGAGCGTTTGTTTAAGTTGGGGAGGATGTGACGACCCGACCCGTCGTCACGTGTGTTACCGCCCTGTTTTCCCCATTTTCTATTTCCTTATGCTTCATTATAAGTATTTGATGTGTTAGAGTTGATTGGGATTAGTTCTAGAAGGAAATGAGACACTTAGTCTCTTTAAGGAAGGCTTGTTTTGGAAAAGTCAACCAGACGTTGACCCTTGTGTTAGAGGGCTCTGATTTGAATTCCGATGATTTAGTAAGCTTCGGGGGATGATTTGTGACTTAGGAGTGTGATCAAAAGTGATTTTGGAGGTCCAGAGTAGAATTAGGCTTGAATTGGCAAAGTTAAGATTTTGGCGAATTCCGGTCGATAGGTGAGATTTTGATCCGGGGGTCGGAATGGAATTCCGAGAGTTTCAGTAGCTTCGTTAGGTGATTTGGGATGTGTGTACAAAATTTCAGGTCATTCGAAGGTGTTTTGGTTGGGTTTTTGATCGAATGCGTGTTTCGGAAGTTTCGAAAGAACTTAGGCTTGAATTTGATGAGAAATGATGGTTTTAGTGTTGTTTGAGGTGTTTTGATGATTGGAGAAAGTTTGAATAAGGTATTGGATCATGTTTGTGTTTTTGGTTGAGGTCCCGGGGGCCTCGGGGTGATTTCGTATGCCTAACGGGAAGTTTTGAACTTAAAGAGATTGCAGAATTTTGCTGCTTCTGGTATTTTTGCTTCTGCGGAAATGGGACGGTAGAAGCGGTACCGCAGAAGCGATTAAAGAACCGCAGAAGCGACAGTAATCGCAAGTGCGAAGATGCCAACCGCATCTGCGGAGTCGCAGATGCGACAAAAGGACCGCAGATGCGGAATTTTGGACTTTAAGGAGATTTCCACATGAGCGGAAAAAGACCGCAGATGCGGTAGCCGCAAAAACGGAAAATGACTTGGGGTGTTCTTGAGCGATTTTGAAGAGAAAATTCAAGGACTTCGATCAGGTAAGCATTCTTGGACTTAGAACACAATTTTATCATGCAAATACATGAAATTGCACTGAAAACTCAAGGAATTAAGGTCAGAAAGGGTGGTTTAGGGCTTGAAACCTAAGAGAACAAAAATGGCAATTTGAGGGGTCATTTGGACTCCGATTTTGGTGTTCTTTATATGCATGGACTCGTGGCGAGATAAGGAATCCGGTGATGTGAAATTTATAATTTTTCTAGAAGTGGGCCCGGGGCTCAGGTTTTGCCAACTTCGTGATTTTCGATGTTTTTTCGAGTCTTTTCGATTGGGTTATATTCCCTTAGCATATTGTGACGTATTCGTTGTGGTTTTGGTCAGATTCGACGCACGAAGAGGTGAATTCGAAAGGCAAGGGCATAGCAAGCTAGGACTTTGGCCGGCTTGAGGTTAGTAATAAATATAAATGCTGTGTTGAGGGTTTGAAACCCCGAATTTGCACATTGTAGTGCTATGTTGAGGTGACTTGCACGCCGGATAACGGGCGTGGGGTAGAGCACCGTCGGGGATCGTGACTTGATCTGTCCCGCTTAATAAAATTACTACCTAATTGATTGTAGTTTTTGTGATATCCTTATAAAAATGGATTAATTGTCATAATTGGGCTTCGTGCCAACTACTTGAATCCTTCAGGGATTATTTTTACTGGTTTCTTACCATATTTCTAGATATTGAACTCAGTCCTGGTATTTAAGACTGTTGTTGTAAACTCAGCCATTTTTTCTAAAAGTAGAAACTAAAGTAATATTTTTAAATGAAGTTTGGGCTGAATATTTTTATAGTATTGTGCCGAAAGGCTTATGTGATTTTGGACTGAGTATGGGATCGGACTGCACGCCGCAGTGGTATAATGTTGATATTGATATGAGGCCGAGGGCCTGTTTGATGCCACGATATGGCTTATTATTGCGCTTGGGGCCCCTCCCGGAGTCTGCACACCCCCAGTGAGCGCCGTCGACGTTAAATAAATGGAGCAGGCTGCACGGCCGCAGCGGGGTACTGGAGAGTACCGGTTTATGTATTGCATTGCATATTTTAATTGTCATTTATTCTTTATTTGTTGTGGTAATATTATAATTGTCCTCGCTGTTTTATTGTATTTATAGCTTTACCTTGTGTTATTTAGGATTTCTTATCCTCAAATTTTATTTATATTTATTACTTTCTGGGTTGCAAGTACTCACAATACTCCCTGCACCTTGTGTGCAGATTCAGGTACACCACAGGGTAAGTGAGGACTTGTTGGCTGAGCAGCGTTTATCCGGGAGTATCGAGGTAGCTGCATGGCGTTCGCAGCCTTGATCTCTCCCATCTATCTTTATCCTTTTATTCGTATTTTCTTTCCTAGACAGAATTGTGATTAGGTGAATATTTGTATTAGAGGCTCATGTTCGTGACACCAGATTCTGTGGGCTGATTAGTATTTTGTTTTTATTTTGGGGTTTTCGAATGTTAGAGATTATTTCAGAAGTTCCGCATTAAATTGGTATTTTAGTAGTGAATATTTATTTATCTATCTAGATTAATTGGCTAAGGTTGTGGAAATGGTCGGGCTTGCCTAGCAATGTGTTGGGCGCCATCACGACCGGGGGTTGGGTCGTGACACTGGTATTCGGGTTTACCTATGTTTTTGGCTTCTTTTTAACAGCTCAGATGATTTGCATCCTTCTATGTTTGTTTCTTAACTCACTTGTGTCATTCTAGGTTGATGCACATAGCAATCTTGGGAATCATATGAAAGCACAAGGGTTAGTGGAAGAGGTAAAATACTGAGACTTTCTTAGCCTTTTTATGTAAATACATACATTTTACTTGTGGTTTTGGGATGGCTGTGGACGTTAACTTTGTACATTGTCTATGCATATGTCTGAGTTAGGTACACTCATGCATTATCGAATTTTATTATTCTTTAACAGATCTTTTAATCTTCAGGTGCATCTCATGTGCGTTTCTGTTTACTCCGCGTTCCTGGCTGTTATGCTGATTGATTTCTGTGGTCTTGATTATTGGTTTTGTTTTACGCATACAATTGTTATGTGGAGGCACTAGTATACAACCTACCTTTGCCGTTGCATGGTCCAATCTTGCTAGCCTCTTCATGGATGCAGGTCATCTTAACAGGGCATTACAATACTACAAGGTATGGAATACCTTAAATCATTTCGCATATTACATTATCCAGAGTTTTGGATTTGTTTTGGCATTATGTTTACTCACTATTTTTGTGAATCAACCTTCTCGTATCCCGGAAGCCGTCAAGCTAAAACAAAACTTTACAGATGCATATTTGAACATGGGAAACGTGTATAAGGTAACACCTTCTGCTTTGTGCTAATATGGTCTGTGGTGCAAGTGCCGTGGTAAGAATATGGGACATATGTGTTTCTGCCTTGCATTTTCCAGGCTCTGGGAATGCCACAGGAGGCTATTATGTGTTACCAGCGTGCTCTCCTTGTGCGACCAGACTATGCAATGGCTTTTGGTAAGTGCTCCTTTCTTGGTCTTAGCTTCATATCAATTGCTATGAAGTTGCTTAGGGTGAAGTTCATTTGCACAGTACTTATCTGTATGTATAGATGTCTTTTCTTTTAGAATATGTATTTGTCGACGTCTTTGCACGGAATGATCACATCATACTGCTTGCCTCCTTTTTTTTCTCGGGGATAAATCATATTGCTTTCATCTAGACCGTTGCAGTCATTTTGTCAATTGGCTAAAACCTTGAGTTTCCATTTTTCCGATGTAGTTGATGCTCTATTCTAATTGAGGTGAAGGATAATGTAGCACAAAAATCATATAAGCTTGAAGCTACCTGAGGCCTCAATTCTGGGCAACGCAGTACCTTAGCCAACAACTTTATTTCCGAGTATATACACCAGGTCAATCATTCTGCAACGAATATCTTATCCTACTTTCATATGATGAACTCATTACTTAATATTATTTTTGAGAATGTCATTTTGATAAACCGTGTTAGCACGAAGTACAAATGTGATGCCTTACTGAATTTTTGTATTGCCTTTCACAGGTACTAAAGACAATCTTTTGAAATTAACATCAGGGACGTGAACCTTTCGTCTCATATGAAGGTTGAAAGCTACTATAACTTAGTAAGCATATGAAGGAAAAATCATGTCAATAAAGTAAGTATCTGGTTATGAGGAGACCAAACAGGCGAAGGGAAAACATGGAAGAAAGAGAATGCACCTACAAGACAATATAATGCAACAGAAAGATAAGAGAACTACACAAAATTCATTCGTGATGATTAGTCTCAAACCAAAAAAAAGAGTTAGATAAACACACCTACACTTCATCGTACAACTTTTTCTCCGCAGCTTATTTGGGGCTGGTTTTACGTTTGCTTTCATGGATATTTTCATGTCGTTTTCCTGCTGCGTAGTGGAACAATTTAAGCTGCGTTCTAGGCTGATTTTCGGAACTTACGGGGGGCTGTATTGACTGACTTTTTAGGGTGAGTTTTGCGGCAGATCTTATAGCCGTATTTCGCTAGGTATTGGCTATTCTTGGTCCAGATTTGTTGACTGTTTTTCAGCGATATCGGCAGCAGGTTTCAGCTGGAATTTTTGGACTGTTTTTAGGTGAGAAAGTCGCAGCGTTTCGGACTGTTTGATGCTGATTTTCTCAGCTTTTTGGAGTATTTTGCGGCTGTTCTAAGTTCCAGTTTAAAGCTGGTTTGTGTGGGTTTAAGGTGGAAGAAAAAGCTTGTGAAAAGGAACAATTTTTGTGCTCCTCAAACAGCGGTTTCTGCTATGTTTTTACTTCTACAAATTGATATTTTGAGTTATATTTTGCTTAGATTTTTCGCTGTATGTTTCATGGAGTTTTCATTATTTTTTGTCATAACATCTCGAGGAATGATTCTACTGACACTCAAAAGATAATCAATATCTTTTTTGAGGTTTAAGAACTAAATGTGATACTCTTTTTGTTTGTACTCGAGTAAAAATTTATGCATTACCATGTGGAATTATCCTTTTAAAGCCAAAGATTGAGATTACATTTCTCAAGTATGTTGTAATAGCTCTTGGGGATTGGTTATCCCCTGACAACAAACTTATTAGTAATATTCAAGAGCAGCGGGCTTATGGTTCTAATTTGAACAACATATTCAATCTTCAACAGATCTAAAATAAAAACAATATTATTACAAGTGTAACCTTGAGCAGGAGAACGAAACTCCATCGTTTAGGTTTCTGTAGTTCTCAATCGCTTTTGATGTTACCTGGCTGAAGTAAATGCTTCATATATAATACCAGCAAAGCGAGCATTAAAATAATAAAATCTATGTTCTGCCAACACTGTTGTTCCCTTCTTTTTTTGGGGGAGGGGGGTGGGGGGTGTGGGGTGTCACGACCCAAAATCCACTACGGATCGTAATGGCGCCGGACACTACTGTCAGGCAAGCCAACTAAGTTATCAATTAAATTCTCTTTTAATACCTTTGAAAATCTAGGATTCTTCCTTCCATTTTTCAAAATTAAAAAAATTTCTACTTCAATTCGAATTAAGTAATAACAATTAGTACACATCTATGAAAAATCATCCCAGAACCCGGTGTCACAAGTGCATGAGCATCTACTGATAAGGAAATAAAATACAGTATCCGTTCGGAATACAGTGGACAGGAATTAAATAGCATAAGCTGAAAGGAACTACACTAGCTGCGGGTCGCCTCAAATAATGCAGCTCACCTAGTCCCAGAATCATCCACGCTGCTACGCCCAGTAGGCCACTGGAGTTACTTATACCTGTGCAACAAAATGCACAGAAGTGTAGTATGAGTACGTAATCAACGTGTACTCAGCAAGTATCCCGTCTAATCTCGAAGAAGTAGAGACGAGATGGTCAACTTTGACACTTACTAGTGGTCCAATAATAATATACTAAATGTGCGAGGAAATCAGGGATTTTATATAGCAGTTCTAACTCACAAAGCGAGAAAACAGGTAAACACCTTCAACAAGTAATAAAGGATTTTCTTTTCATTATTTTATCAGTTTATACCAAGCCATGAAAGGCAATACCCACATTTAAAAAGTTTCAGGAAAAACAATATATATATCATGCGCAAATCATGCCGATGTCGACGGCTCGCTCCAACAGAATGTAAACTGTGCACTGCCGAGGGTCAAACGGCCCGAACCATAGATGCATCTATTTAATCTGCCGAGGCGTTCGGCCCGTTCCATAAATAAACACATACCCTGCTCGCGAAAATTGCGTGCGACGCAGGTACACATAGAGATACATGCTCAATCAGTCAATTGGGAACTTATCGGGATATTTATCCAAATAAGACAATTTCTCTTTTTAACAATTCAGGAAAAATGAGGTTTAATCTCTTTTTAAATTCATTTACTAATCCAAGGTGATTTAAGCAATTCAAGCTATCAAGGGGTTCATAAATAATCCAAGTGTAACATGCTTTTTGGGTCCTAACTACCCGGACAATAGCATAATAGTAGCTACGCACGGACTCTCGTCACCTCGTGCGTACGTAGCCCCCACAAATAGGAGCACATAATCAATTATTTCACCTATGGGGACGATTCCCTCTTACAAGGTTAGAAAGGAGACTCACTTCGCTCCGAAGACTCATAACCGGCATTCTACATTCCTCCGAAGACTTGCACCAACGCACAATGCTCCAAAACTAGTCAATGATTATACAAATCCATTAATATATGCTCAATTAAACTTTACAACCCAGTTTGTAACAATTCCTAACCCCGAACGAAAAGTTGACCAAAACGCCCTCGGGCCCACGTGCCCGAAATCCGAATTTTTTTGAAGATAAAGATTACCCATGACCCTATGAACTCAAATATACAATTTACTCCTAATTCCATGCTCAAATTCGTGTTAAAATCCAATTTATCAAGTTATTAGGTTTTCTTCTAAAAATCCTAACTTGCCCACAATGCTTATGTCTAATTCCATGATATAATCTTGTATTTAACTTGGAAATGAGTAGGAGTATCTTACCTTAACAATGATGACGAAATACCTCTTTGAAGCTCTCCAAAAATCGCCCCAAGCCATGAAAAATGGGTGAAATGAACCAAAACCCCGACTTAAAACAAGTCTTCTGCCTCCAGTGATTTCCGCTTATGCGGTCAAAACGCCGCTTCTGTGGCTCCTTCCCAAGCCGCCCAGCTTCCGCTTCTGCGCTTCCTATTCCGCAGGTGCGGTCCCGCATCTGCGGCTCCCTGACCGCATCTGCGGTCCCTGCTTTTCCTCCAAAAATCCGCATCTGCGGTCTTCCTGGCCGCTTCTACGGGGCCGCTTCAGCGGTCCCTTTTCCGCAGAAGCGGAAATACCAGCAACCAGCAACCTTTGCCCTTCAAAAATTCCATTTTTGATCCGTTAACCACTCGGAATCCACCCGAGGCCCCCGGGAACTCAACCAAGCCTACCAACCAATCCCAAAACACATTACGGACCTGCTCGAGGCCTCAAATCATATCAAACAACGCTAAAATCATGAATTACACCCTGATTCAAGCTTTATGAACTTTAGAACTTCAAACTTCTATTTCCGATGTTTAAACCTATCAAATCACGTCTGATTGACCTCAAATTTTGCACACAAGTCATATTTGACATTACGAACCTACTCCAACTTTCGGAATCGGATTCCGACCCCGATATCAAAAAGTCCACCTCCGGTCAAACTTCTCAAAAACCTTCAAATTTCTATCTTTAGCCAAATGGCTCCAAAATGACCTACGGACCTCCGAATTCACTTCCGACCGCGCCCCCAACTCCACAATCACCATACGGAGCTATTCACAGTCTCGCAGCCCCAAACGGACATCGATAACACTGAAATGCACTTCAAGCCAAACTGATGAAATTCCTTCTAAAATGCTAACTTCCACAATGGGCGCCAAAACGCTCCCGGGTTATCCAAAACCCGAACCGGGCATACGCCCAAGTCCGAAATCATCAAACGAACCTGTCGGAACCTTCAGATCCTGATTCCGAGATTGTTTACTTAAAAATCCAATCTTAGTTCATTCTTTCAACTTTAAGCTTCTGAAATGAGAATTCTCTTTCCAAATCAACTCTGAACTTTCCGGAACTTAATTCCGACCACGCGTAAAAGTCATGATACCTGAAATAAAGCTGTTGACGGCCTCCGATTGCTGAACATAGCGCTAGGACTCAAAACGACCGGTTGGGTCGTTACATTCTCTCCCACTTAACTATACGTTCGTCCTCGAACGTGCTGAGAACTGCACTGGAGTGGTCCGAAATTGCTGTTTAACTTCTCATGCACCTTCCCATGCTACTACGGCTCAGTTGAGCACATTAGCTCGATCCATTCTGAAGATATCCTCTTTTATTCAAGCAGATACGCCTTATAGTCCAATTCCAACATCCGGAACTCAATGCTAGGCCCGTTTCCAACATATGATCACCATATCAATAACTACAC